GTGTGTGTGTGTGTGTGTGTGCGTGAGTGTCTCTGCTCACATTAAGAATGAACGCTCTCTTCACCTGCTGTAATGCAATACTCACATCTGAAGGCTGTCGCGCTGGTTCCCACTGAACGCCGCAGTAGCTCACCGCCGTGTTAATCCTAATGAAGAAGAGCGGACATTAAGTTTTAGAGCGGCTCTTTAGCGTGCCAAAACTCTCGTGGCCTTTATGAGGGAATTCAGTCATTAGTAATTGTGACCATGTGTAGGTACAAATAAAAATCCTGTGAATTTATAGTTTGTTATAAAATCTCGTCCAGAGCTCAACGATGGCCTTTTAATGGAGCCACTTTCTGTGGCTTTTTCTTCTTCTCACCGCGAGCTGCTAATTGTGACAGTATCACACGAGAACTGACGAGATGTTTCCTCTGATGCAACGTGACAAAAACACAACGCTTGAGATTGATTACAGTGCTTTCATAAAATATCGTCATTTAGTTACACTGGAGACTGATGGGAAAATCAGAGCAAACTGTGAAAGAATTCATTTAATTGACTTTCAACAGACTTGTCCTTGTAAACAGGACACTGATGGTGTTTGTGGACATTGTATTTTACATTTATATATTTTACATGAATTGCATCACCGAGGCTGCATTTATTTGATCAAAAACGCTGTAAAATAGTGAAATATTATTGCAATTTAAAACAGCTGTTTTCTGCGTGAATATCTATTAAACTGTAATTTATTTCTGTGATGCGCAGCTGTATTTTCAGCATCATTACTCCAGTCTTCAGTGTCACATGATCTTCAGAAATCATTCTAATATGCTGATTTGCTGCTCAAGAAACATTTCTGATTATTATCAATGTTGAAAACAGTTGTGCTGCACAATATCTTTGTGGAAACAGTGATATATTTTATTTTTTAGGATTCACAGTTGAATAGAAAGTTAATTTATTTGAAATGGAAATATTTTGCAACATTATAAATGCATTTGCTGTTACTTTTGATCAATGTAATGTGTCTGTAATGAATAAAAGTATTAATTTCTTCTCTCTTCTCTCGTAGATCATCAAGCTGCTGGATGGCAAACGCTCTCAGACCGTGGGAATATTAATATCCAGCCTCCACCTGGAGATGAAGGACATTCAGCAGGGTGAGATATAACTTATTTAATTTATGTTTCCTGATAGCTAAATTTCAAATACAGAAACAAAAAATGGGCTCTAAACATCTCTTTTCTTTACTCAAAGTTGATCTAGACAAGTAGGCTACATGGAAACTATCTGAAGTTCTGTTCATCCTAAAACAGTGAAAACTGCATGTGTATAAAGTGTCTCTTAAAGTGTAAATATATCACTTTTTTAGTTAAACCATGGTAACCACAACTTATCCATGGTTTTTCTATACTAACCATAGTTTAACCATGGTATTTGTAGTAAAACTGTGGTTAAACAAAAAAAAAAAACATGGTTTCTATATATAATATTTGTGTATTCTTTCTTTTTTCTTTGTTTTTATAACTGTACTGCCTTAATGGTTTGATGTTTTCTACTGTTTAATAAAAAATGAAAAAAAAAAACAGAAAAAAAGATTTGTGAATCCGCTCCGAAACCCTGATCTCAATCAAATGATTCGCGATCCATCATTTCAGATCAGGACTCGGATCGTGGAAATGAATCAAATGATTCGCGATACGCGATTTGAAGTCCCGATCTGAATCAAAAGATTTGTGAACGCTCAGAAGTTCCAATCTAAATCAAATGATTCGCGATTCGCACTGCGAAGTCCCAATCTGAATCAAATGATTTGTGAACACACTCAGACGTTCCAATCTAAATCAAATGATTCGCGATTCGCACTCCGAAGTCCCGATCTGAATCAAATGATTCGTGAACACGCTCAGAAGTTCCAATCTAAATCAAATGATTTGATCTGAATCAAATGATTTGTGAAAACACTCAGAAGTCCCAATCTAAATCAAATGATTTGCGATTCGCACTGCGAAGTCCCAATCTGAATCAAATGATTCGTGAACACGCTCTGAAGTCCCAATCTGAATCAAATGGTCGCACTCCGAAGTCCCGATCTGAATCAAATGATTCGTGAACACGCTCAGAAGTTCCAATCTGAATCAAATTATTTGATCTGAATCAAATGATTTGTGAACACACTCAGATGTTCCAATCTAAATCAAATGATTCGCGATTCGCACTGCGAAGTCCCAATCTGAATCAAATGATTCGTGAACACGCTCAGAAGTTCCAATCTAAATCAAATGATTTGTGATTCGCACTCCGAAGTCCCGATATGAATCAAATGATTCGTGAACACGCTCTGAAGTCCCAATCTGAATCAAATGATTTGATCTGAATCAAATGATTTGTGAACACACTCAGACGTTCCAATCTAAATCAAATGATTCGCGATTCGCACTCCGAAGTCCCAATCTGAATCAAATGATTCGTGAACACGCTCAGAAGTTCCAATCTAAATCAAATGATTTGTGATTCGCACTCCGAAGTCCCGATATGAATCAAATGATTCGTGAACATGCTCTGCAGTCACAATCTGAATCAAATGATTTGATCTGAATCAAATGATTTGTGAACACACTCAGAAGTTCCAATCTAAATCAAATGATTTGCGACTGTTCGTCTTTGGATTGACAGCACTAATGTATATATATATACAGGGTTCCTGATACATGATCCTGGATCACGTGCCTCAATCCATGCAATGCTTTACAGAAAGTCAGCGCACGAGATTTCAGATTGACAGTATGACATTAATACACAACGTTTTTGCTCAAAACTCACTCGACTGTGACCTAATGCAGATATTGTATATAATAAACTGACGCATAAATGTATTATGAGACAGAACGCAGAAGTTTGCCTATGTATTTTGACAATTTTTTTCACCATTGCATAAATGAAATAGCCAAAATGTGCTTTTTACTGTTTTGTCTTGTTTTTCAAAGAAAAAATCAATTACAAAACAACAATTTAAAAATATTTAACATTTTTTTAACATTCTAGCAGACATTATACCAACAAAGCACAATTTAACTTAAAATTAATAAGTTGCTAAAATAATATTTTTTGGCGATCAGACCCCCTTCTTGAATCAGGCATGTATTTTTACTGTAAAATTAAAAGCAGCCTTGCTGAGCAGAAGATACTTCTTTAAAAACATATTACAGATCCCAATTTGAACACTATGTGTGTATGTTTTAATAAATGTATTAACAGAGCTGTTGTAATAATTATTATCATTATTAGTGTCTTACTTTTTATTTTATTTTACAGGACAGCAGTAAAATTACAACAATACTAACATTTATGAATGCTTTTTCTTGCAGCCTTGAAAACTGTTGTTTGTTTGTTTGTTTTCAGGAAAATCAATGTAATATATTTTTGTTCAATAATATTTTTGATTATTATTTAGAATTTGGTGGGGATTTTATGATACTATGCAATATTTGGGCAATTTGTATGAGCTATTTTATTTTCCCACAGTCATATTTAGATATCATATATTAAGTTACCAAGTGACACGTTTTTATTTTTCAACATTTTAACATCAAAATCATATCCATGATTGTTTTGTGTGTTCACTTAGCTAATGCAACAAAAGTCACCTCATTGTGTCATCTCATTCCGAAGTAGCTATGGTTTTTAAAATTTCAAAATGTAACATTTTTCAGTCAAAATGACTGAAGAGGTTAACAAATATCTAAGTTTGCAAAAAAAGACACTTAAAGCAATAAAAAAATGTTTTGTTTTCTCAAAAATATTTTTTATTAATAAATAAATTAAAATAAATCCTTTAATTTTTGTAGCATAAACAAAATAATGAAACATATAATAATAAATTAATATAATCAGAGACCTCATGAGATTTAAATGAGTCTAGAGAAAAACGCTGCTGCATACAAACACAATCTGAGCGTCTGTACACAGTCACGTGATCAATCACACTCATTTACTCACATTTGATTGGTCACTAGAAATAGAGCACAATCTGACGTATTTCTGCTTCATAAGCTGTTTATTTCCAGCGGCTGCTTGCATAAGCTGCTTAGACTATAGGCTTAAAAGTTAGTCATTTGATTGTTTTATTTAACAGAGGTCATAACTTACATAAAAATGTAAACTAGTCTAATTTGAATCTGAAAAGTAAGACTAGTTGGTCAGACTAGTTAATAAGACACAGTTAATGCAACTGGCCAGAGGTGTAAATGTGTCTTTTCTGGGAGAAAATTAGGCTGAAAAACACCCAGAAATAAACAGAAAGAAGCATTTCAAACACACAAAAAAATTTTTATTTTTTCAGTTGTGACTGTAGTAAACGGACAGATCTGGTGTTTGTAACGAGGATGTGTTTGTTTTGCGTCTCATGAAGTCTTTATATTGCAGCTGTTCTGACGGTGGATCATTCTGTGGTGGATCTGGAGACCATTGAAGCTTTATATGAGAACGTGAGTATTCAAACCCAGCCATCATGAAACCCAAACCTTCACCAGATTAACACCTGATTTTTATTCTCGTTCTTCACTCTTTGTTTATTTTCTATAGTCGGTGTTTTAACAGCACCAGCTGTTTGTCTTTATTACTTCATTAAATGTGTTACTGTGTGTGTGTGTGTGTGTGTGTGTGTGAGAGTGTGTGTGTGTGTGTGTGTGCGCGTGTGCGTGTGTGTGCGTGAGCGTGTGTGTGTGTGTGTGTAACTAACTCTAACCATGATCTGATGATTTGATCAGTTTGTTTGTTGTTCCAGAATTTATTAACATTATATACTGTATTGTGTATTTCCTTTTTAAGACTTCATATCTGTTTGTACTAAAACTGGTTTAGTTTAGTTTAGTTTAGTTTAGTTTAGTTTATTTATTTATAAAGCACATTTAAAAATAACAGGAGTTGCAACCAAAATGCTGTACAACAAATATTAAACAAAGTAAAAACATACCCAATCAAGACAGACAAAGGGACAAATAAAATTGTACACCCTCAAACAGAATTAAAACATACAGAATAAAAATAGGTCAAAGAGGATTTAAACAAAGAAATAGAAGGGGAAGATCTTATGTGGAGAGGAAGACTGTTCCAGAGCCGGAGAAACGAGCGATCTCTTATTAATAGATGCATGTGAAAAATAATGCGATCATCAGCAATGGCAGCATATAAATGAAAACTGCATAATGTTACGGAGTAAAGTGTTGATCGAGGAAGTGGTATATGTCTGTGCAAGCTTTGGAGGTGTTGATGGAAGCGATTTACTGGATTTATGCTTTGATAATCATACTGAATATTACCCAGATGTAGTTTTTGATAAAAATGTGATTTTCTCACATTTTTGCTCAAAATTATGCATTTTTATGAAACCTTCCTATATTCAAGTGTTGATAAAAAAAAGAATGCTTTAAGCTAGAATAAAACGGATTCTTTTGTTTAAAAGTAGAGGCTCTGATCTTTATGTTGGTGTATTGCATATTCAAATATTCATACAGCAAAATATTCTGGAAGCCATCAAATTTTAGTGAAAATCGCTGGTGGTGGCTGGCAACTTTTTTTTTAAATGCTGGCAGGGAAAGAGTTAACAATGCCAGAAGACACAGTTGTTGGACCAAAAACCATTATTTCAGTTTTATCATTATTCAACTGTAAAAAAATTAATCAAGTCCATCCAGCATTTAATGTCCTGAAGACATGCAAACAGATTAGACATAGAGCAGTTATTGTTTTTAACAGGAAAATGAAGTTGAGTGTCATCGGCAAAGAAATGATATGATAAATGATGTTTCTGAAAAATATAACCGAGTGGAAGCATATATAAGGAGAAAAGGAGAGGACCCAAAATAGAGCCCTGCAGAACACCATAGGAGATTTGAGCCCGAGATGAGAAACAATTCCCCAAATTCGCAGGAAAAAAAATCTGCTCTTAAGGTAGGAAGCAAACTGGAAACCAGGTACCTGATCAAGTCTTTGAAGAAGGATGTCATGATCTATTGTATCAAATGCTGCACTTAAATCAAGCATGATTAAGATACAGCAAGAACCAGAGTCAAGGGAAAGTAAAATATCATTAGTAACCTTCAAGAGGGCAGATTCAGTACTATGAAATTCTCTAAACCCAGACTGAAATGTGTCACAAATATTAAAAGTACTTAAGTAAAATGAGATCTGAGAATAGACAACTTTTTCCAAAACGTTTGAGATGAAAGATAATTTAGAAATGGGTCTATAGTTATTTAGGTCATGCTGATCAAGATTATGCTTTTTTAACAGTGGTTGGACTATAGCATGTTTAAAAGAAGCTGGTACAATTCCATTTGTTAAGGAGCTATTGATAATAGCAGTAACAACTTGACTTAAGGCTGGAAAAGCCTCTTTAAAAATCTGAGAAGGCAGAACATCAGAGTGACAAAATGAGGGCTTCATACTAAGAACAATATCATAAAGCTGTGAAGGTGACACGGGTCGGAAAAGAGATAGGGAGCTCTGATGAGAAGCCATTTCTAGAGGAAAATAATTTTGAGAAGGTATGTTAGATCTGATACACTCGACTTTATGGATAAAATGTTTTAAAAACTGTTCACACAAATCAGTGGAGAATTCTAATGAGGCACTAGGAGCAGGATTTAAAAAGACATTAATCGTATTAAAAAGTATCTTCGGCCTATATGCATTTTGTGCAATTAAATCTGACATGTATTTCCTCTGAGCTTCCTTAGCAGTACTCTGATACCGTTTAAGACGTTCTCTGAAAATTTCGTATGATATCTGAAGTTTATCTTTCTATCTGTGTCTTAAAGGGATAGTTCACCCAAAAATAAAAATCCTGTCATCATTTGTTGAGTTTCTTTTTTCTGTTTCTGGTCTCCATTGACTAAAAATACAGTTGGGGATCATCAAAAGATCCTCATCATCTTTTGTGTGAGAGACCTATAAAAGATGAATTATGACTGTAATATTGCACAAAGTGAGTGATTTGAAGCCCAGTTAGCTCTTGATCCATCACCAGCATCTAGGTAAACCGATGGATGTTTTTGTGCCATTGCCATTATAATCACGCAAAGACTGCATTATATGGTGCTGCAATGACTAGTTTTACTTCTAATGGTTTTGTTGTGAATGTTGACAGAGAGCTCAGCCTGACGAACTGGAGAAGATCAAGAAACATTACGAGACGTCTAAAGAAGACGAGGTGAAACTTCTGGATAAACCGGAGCTGTACGTCATTCAGTCGCTCTGATCCTTCTCTGAATAAGTCGTGGGTTGTGTCAGAGACCATATATTAGGATAATAATTGCAATTATTTAACATTCATTTATAACACAGTCCTGCATCTTCATTCTGTTGATTTGCAAAAAAGGCATAGTATCAGTACATTTGATGATGCTGAGTTCAGAAATATCAATAAAAAACAAAAGCCGTGAAATGTCAAAAGCTTCAGTTTTAATGACAAAAAGAGTTTAGAATGCATCACTGAACTTCAGCAAAGGACTGGAAAAATATGTTCAAATACTCCGTTTAATGTCAAAGACCTTTACAAATAAGCAAAATAAGCTTGTTTTAACCAAATCATTTTCTCTGTCTGTTTGGTTGCAGTACATAAATCTGACCTTGAAATCAGGATGAGGTTTATAACAGTGTTCTAAGTGTGAAAATGGGCTGAGAATTGATCAGATAGACAGGATTCATGTGTTTATGATGTTTTTCTGCTGATTAATGAGCATTGCGAGACTTCCTCACTGCACAAATAATACTAAAATAATTCTCAAAAGCAAAAAATGCTACAACATGCATCATATTTTGTGAGAAAGTGCGATGTGCTCCAGCAAAACAGACATTATTTTTGGAATCGGTGGCTCAAAATGAGCAAGAAACGAGTATTGGCTTTTATTCAGCAAATATAATGCAGGACAGTGTTATTATAACAACATTTGAATTGATGTTTTGCTGAAATCAGCGTCTTCTGGTTCACATTCCACGTACGACTAGTTATAGTAGAGTTCCAGGTTAAACGTGTTAAACGCTGTCTGTATCATAATTATCAAGAAACAATTTTGACTTCAAACCATCAGCTCATAAAAACAAAGGTTTTGAACATATCACCACAAGATCTAAACTTTATATATAGTGTACTGTCAATATGAGACTTTAAGAGCCTCATGTGAAGCCAAGAAGCCACAAATTTACAGTAGGATTTACTTTAAAACTATATTCACTTAGAAACTGATAGTGATTTTCACAAATAATTACAAAGAAACAGCAAGTAACATTGAATTGAATTAACATTAACATTAATTAAACATGACTGAAATAGTATTTTCTTTGTCAACAGGGTTAACATAGTTAACTAAAACTAAAACTAAAAATGTTACTTCACTGAAAAAAATTATGCTACATTTTTTAAGGTAAGTGGTTACAAACAATTTATTTTAGCTACATTTAATTAAAAAATATGTTGAAAGTTAGTGAACTAAATTTGTTTATTTAAATGTAGCTCAAATAAATTGATTGCAACAAAAATTGATTGCAAAAAAAAAAGTAAATTAACTAATCATTTTTTCAGTGTTGAAATAAATTAATATTAACTGAAATAAAATATAATAAAAAACTTAAACCTATTTTATTAATAATAAAATCAAAATAATTTATCAACTTTTCTCATTTTTGCTTGGTTTCATTTGATGTACTAAATTGACAAAAAATACTGAAATGAAAGAAAGAAAGAAAGAAAGAAACTGAAATAAAAAGTAATAAATAAACATTTAAAAACAATAAAAATTACAATGATTAAATTATAAAAATTACAAAAAAAATGAAAATTTGTTAAAACTTGAACTAAAATTAACATGAGAGCAGAAAATATTAAAAAAAAATCTAATTCAGAATCTTAAAAACTATGACAGTACTGTATATCAGTGATCACTGAGTGTTACATAGTCCAGTAATCTTTGTTTTATTTTTCAAAATTATGTATTATACTTTGTTTAACTTGGAAAAATATTTTTTTAGTGTACCAGACAAGAACTGACATCCGTAACACAGCATCAGACATTCAGTCGTTCCTCAAAAGGATGATTAAACACTTTACAACACATTATTATTACAATAAATGCCTCTGCTTTCTAACCCTGCTGAATGTCAGGCGTGTAAGTGCGTTAATGTGGCTTGTTTTTTATGAACTGAAGGGTGAGGGATGAGCTCTCAGATGCTGCACAAACATCTGAAGCGCTCCTGTAAAACCAAATCAGCCAGCTGTGTGTGACCTTTGACCATCGCTGTAGTGAGTCAAACAGGAACGCAGCGATGCTCTGTGACTCGTGCCGCTAATATTCAGCATAATCACACTTAAGTGCGCTTACTTGCATCCAGATTGGCGTGTTTCCGTGTGAAGACGTTGTGCCGAGGCTGTTGCTCACCGCTTCGATCTCTTTCATCTTCCCGCGCAGATTCCTGTACGAACTCTCCCAGATTCCCGACTTCGCCCGGCGTGCGCACTGCATCATATTCCAGTCTGTGTTCGTGGACTCCATATCATCCGTCCATCGGAAGGTGGAGATCATCTCTGCTGTGTGCAAGGTACAATAAAGATCTGAAACGACTCTTCTGCTTTTCAGATTTTCAGATTTATTTTGCCATTTCTTCTATTAAGGTTAACCCTAGTGAAAAATAAATATACTTAAAGGGTTAGTTCACCCAAAAATGAAAATTAGCCCATAAATTACTCACCCTCAAGTCTTCCTAGGTGTATATGACTTTCTTCTTTCAGACGAATCCAGTCGGAGTTATATAAAAAATTGTCTTTGATCTTTCAAGCTTGCATGCTTCAGTCCAAAAGAAGTTAAATAAAAAGTGCCTATCCATTAAAAAAAGTGTCTCACACGGCTCCGGGGGGTGAACAAAGGCCTTCTCTAGCGAATCGATGCATTTTTGTAAGAAAAATAACCATATTTAAAACCTAATAATCACTTTAATGTAGCTTGCGCTCACTGTTGTACACAGAAGCAGCTCCGGGCGGATGACGTATGAGTTCAGTGCTTTGACATTGACTGTCAGTCTTTATTCACCTATTCCTCATGGTTTCTCATTAAACTACATTAACGTAAATAGTGTAACTTACATCACTAATGTCATAGAATAGCACGATAGATAATGTCATAGAATAGCCAGAAATGTACTTTTACTATGGTAAAATAAATGTTCAGCAATATCTTCAAAAGATTTTTGAATTTTGGCGCAGTTTTTTCTCTATATAGTATGCTTGCATAACAAAATTTACAGTATTTACTAGTTACCATATCAACATTATATAGAGAAAAAAGTGCGCCAAAATTCTAATATCTTTTGAAGATATCGCTGAACATTTATTTGACCATAGTAAAATCAAATTTCTGGCTTAAGTAAATTTTTCAACACAGTTTTTATTATTCATTTAAGAAGAGACAAATCTGCTAATATTTTAATCTCCGATCTGTTATTTATCAGTTTAGATAGGTTTTTTGTAATGCTTCAATAACTAGCAGAAGACACTAACCAGTTTTAAATTCCGGTTGTGCAGATGAGGAACATTGTAACACTGCGTCACGATGAGAAACAGGTGAATACAGACTGACAGTCAATGTTTAATGTTCAGAGCAAAAAAAAAAGTAAATTAAACTAATCATTTTTTCAGTGTTGAAATAAATTAATATTAACTGAAATAAAATATAATAAAAAACTTAAACCTATTTTATTAATAATAAAATCAAAATAATTTATCAACTTTTCTCATTTTTGCTTGGTTTCATTTGATGTACTAAATTGACAAAAAATACTGAAATGAAAGAAAGAAAGAAAGAAAGAAAGAAAGAAACTGAAATAAAAAGTAATAAATAAACATTTAAAAACAATAAAAATTACAATGATTCAATAACTAGCAGAAGACACTAACCAGTTTTAAATTCCGGTTGTGCAGATGAGGAACATTGTAACACTGCGTCACGATGAGAAACAGGTGAATACAGACTGACAGTCAATGTTTAATGTTCAGAAATTATTATTTTAAGACATGTAAAGCTTGTTTATGTGGGCCGTCTTAAGCATGGTTGCAAGTGTTCATTGTCAAACTCCGAAATCAGATTATCTTGAATTCTTAAAAAACGCCATTATTTTATTTGAAATAATTATTTTATTGACAAAAGATTTCAGTTTGTCTTAGTTTTCATGAGATCAGATAACATTTTAAGCTGTCATATGGTCATGTTACAACGTGCCCCTCAGATGTTACAATGTACCCCACCTACGGGGCATGTTGTCACATTTCACTTCCAATTTTTGAGGGAAAATAAAGAAAAACGTATAAACTGTAATTATGAAACAAAGCAACATTTGTACTAGACAAGTGTGAAATTACTGTGGATAAAAGGAAATTATACTCTGAACCCCATGTGGATTTACACAAACTGAGAAGCTCAAAATGAACCCGTGCGCATTCACACTCATTTTGCCAGCACGGCTCACAAATGTAAGTGTCTTTCCAGACTTTTCTTGAGAATGACAGCGTGAAGGACGTGATCGGCCTCATCTTGGCCTTTGGGAACTACATGAACGGTGGAAACCGGACCCGAGGACAGGCAGACGGATTCGGACTGGACATTCTGCCTAAATTAAAAGATGTCAAGAGCAGGGTATGAAAATAACGGTAACACTTTACAAATATGCATTAATTCGTGCTTAACTAATGCACAGATAATCACGAGTTAATGTATAACTCATGAAGAACTAAACCATTTATTATTGATTACTACATCAGCAACTAATGAACATTCTGTATGATTCATAGTTTAAGTAATAAATAAATTGTTATCAGTTAAATGTGTCATAATGTATTAGTTCCCTAATAACATATGTGACAAAACCAGTCTTAAGTGTCAATTTTTCAAAATTGAGATTTATACATCATCTGAAGCTGAATAAATAATCTTTCCATTGATGTATGGTTTGTTAGGATAGCACAATATTTGGCCGAGATACAACTCAGGGACACATATTATATTAACTAATGATGTAAATTCATATGTTAATTACCACAATGTGTCGAAGCCATGCATTTCAACTTCCAGATAATTAATCATTAGCTAATGATTTGTCAAG